CCTGAGATTAAGAATTCCTCGTATCAGTGAGGTCATATGATACATGTCTTTCTCTGATTGACTTATTTCACTCAGCATAACACCCTCCAGTTCCATCCACATCGTTGCAAATGGCAAGATCTCATTCCTTTTGATGGCTGCATAATATTCCACTGTATATATATACCACATCTTCTTTATCCCTGAATATCACTCTTAATGGTATTATACACGACTTTTAGTTTTAAAAAAGAACTATGACGGGACGCTTGGGTGGCTCAGGTAGTTGAGCGTCTGCCTTCGGCTCAGGTCATGATCCCAGGGTCCTGGGATCAAGTCCTGCATCGAGCTCCTTGCTCGGCAGGAATCCTGCTTCTCCCTCTACCTCTCGCTCCCCCTGCTTGTGCGCTCCCTCTTTCTCTGACAAAAGAAATAAATAAAAATCTTTATTTAAAAAAAATGAGAATATTTTAAGTGGAAAAATAAGCCATGGGAGTTCAGCAACTTCACCTTGATTACTGTTCAAAGATCAACCTGGATTTTCACACCGTATCATACAACAGACTGTGGTGATACTATTGGTAAACGGAGGGAAAAGCCATTTTAAAAACTAAACACAGAGAACTCCAATTCGGTCTCCATTCTAACCTACAAGGGCTTGTATCACTGAGTGCAGCACTGCTCAGAACAAGCAGAAAGAAGTCTTCTAGTGGAAGCAATCTCTGTAACTGCTTCATAAAGACACATCTCTACTATCTTTCAGATTAATTTCCAACTGAATGGACTGGTGAAAATGTGCATAATGGGTATATTATTTAGTGCAAAGGCTTCCATGCTGCTGTGATGAGAAATGCCACCTCTTTTGTCCCTTTAAACCAGAGTACATCCAAACCAGTGATCACTCAGTTCCCCACACAGCGAGGTTTCTTCCTACTTGGGCCCCAGGGAAAGCACCTACTCTGCTCAGTCGCTGGACAGCAACACTTGGCTGAGTCTTCTCACTTGCTTGGGTTGGTACAGTTGCTTTGTAAATAATTTGCACCTGTACATTCCGAGCGTTTCCTTAATCCATCAATTAGCTCATGTACTTTAAGACATGCCATTGTGGTTTTTTTTCTCTTTCGAAAACAAGGTAAAAAGTATATTTTTAAAAAATTTTTTTATTATGTTATGTTAATCACCATATACATCATTAGTTTTAGATGTAGTGTTCCATGATTCATTGTTTGTGCATAACACCCAGTGCTCCATGCAGAACGTGCCCTCTTTAATACCCAGGCTAACCCATCCCCCCACCCCCCTCCCCTCTAGAACCCTCAATTTGTTTCTCAGAGTCCATCGTCTCTCATGATTCGTCTAAGACATGCCATTGTTTGATCAGCATCCCTTTGAGAGCCCGTGTTTCCTCACAATCTAAAGTGGGATGGGGCGCCAGGGTGGCTCAGTTGTTAAGCGTCTGCCTTCAGCTCAGGTCATGGTCCCAGGGTCCTGGGATCGAGCCCCGCATTGGGCTCCCTGCTCTGCGGGAGGCCTGCTTCTCCCTCTCCCTCTGCCTCTGCTTGTGTTCCCTCTCTCACTGTGTCTCTCTCTGTCAAATAAATAAATAAAATCTTCAAAAAATAAAAAATAAAAAAAATAAAGTGGGATGAGGGCTGCCTGGGTGCCTCAGTCAACTGTTAAGTGACAGACTCTTGATCTCAGCTCAAGTCTTGATCTCAGGGTTTTGAGTTCAAGCCCTGCATTGGGCTCCAAGCTGGGCGTACGCCTACAGGCATGCATGCATGCATAATGGGATGAGATGGTCCTTGGGGTCTTTCAGCTTGAAAACAAATCTAAGAAAGCAAGGCCTCTTAGAATCACCTACCACTGCTTGTTTGATTCCCTATGCCCTGCATTCTTTAACAAGTATGTACTCCTTGGGTAGTCAGAAAGAAAAGGGTATTTTTTCTTTTTGAAAGAATGTCTTCCCTTCCTGTTTGGTGTAATGGACTTTGCCATCCGTCCCTGTGCTGTACAAAGAAACCAGCACAGACTTAGCTCTGAGACCAGTGTGGGAGCTTTGAGCACATGAAGTGCAGCCGAGACAAACTGAGACCTGTCATTCAGTGTAGGACACGCCGAATTCTTGAGACTTAGTATAGAAAAGGAACGTGAAATAATAAAAATACCTATTTTAAAATTTTTTATTTTTAAAAGATTTTATTTTGGGGACATCTAGGTGGCTCAGGCGGTTAAGTGTCTGCCTTTGGCTCAGGTCTTGATCTTAGGGTCCTGGGATCAAGTCCCGAGTCAGGCTCCCTGCTCAGTGGGGAGTCTGCTTCTCCCTCTGCCCGTCCCCACTGCTTGTGCGCACGCACGCCTCTCTCTTAAACAAAATCTTAAAAAAAAAAATAGGTAAAATAAAAATAATAAAAAAGAAAAAAAAATTTTTTTTTAAATGCAAGAGAGAGCACGAGAGAGAGAGAGAGAGAGAGAGAGAACATGAGAGAGAGCATGGGGGAGGGGGGAGGCAGAGGGAGAGGCAAGAGCAAACTCCCAACTGAGCAGGGAGCCCAACCAATGTGGGGCTTGACCTCAGGACCATGACCTGAGGTGAAGGCAGATGCTTAACCGACTGAGCCACCCAGGCACCCCAAAAGATTTTATTTTTAAGTAATCTCTACACCCAATGTAGGGCTCGAACTTACAACCCTGAGATCAAGAGTTGCATGCTCTACTGACTGAGCCAGCCAGATGCCCCAAATATCTATTTTTTTAAAGTACCTATTTTTTAAAAAAGATTTTATTTATTTGAGAGAGAGAGCGAGCGCAAGAGCTTGAGCAGGGGGAAGGGGCAGAGGGAGAGGGAGAAGCAGACTCCCCGATGAGCAGGGAGCCTGACTCAGGGCTGGATTCCAGGACCCAGAGATCATGACCTGAGCTGAAGGGAGATGCTTAACTGGGCCAGCCAGGCACCCCTAAAAGTATCTATTAATTTTATGTTGAAATGATAATATTTTAGATACAGTGGTTTAGACAAAGTCTGTTAAAAATTGATTTCAGGGGCACTTGGGTGGCTCAGTCGTTAAGCATCTGCCTTCGGCTCAGGTCATGGTCCCAGGGTCCTGGGATCAAGCCCCACATCGGGCTCCAGCCCCGTATCGGGCTCCCTGCTAGGCAAGAAGCCTGCTTCTCCCTCTCCCACTCCCCCTGCTTGTGTTCCTGCTCTCGCTGTCTCACTGTCAAATAAATAAATAAAATCTAAAAAAAACCAAAAAACGATTGCACATGTTTCTTTTCACATTTTTATTTTTTTAATTTTTTAAACTGACTGAGCCACCCAGGCGTCCCCATACAGACTTTCTTTATCTGCTATGAACAGATCTGAACTCACTATGAACAACAACGTCTAAACAATAATTTATAGCTATGAGAAAAACAAAATTCTGAATTCTATATTCTGGAAGGTGGACAGACAATATTAAATAAGTCTGATCAGAGCAGACTATTAAAAGCACCAAGTCCTCCTTATTTTTATTGGGCTATATCTGATCTTTGTTTTGTTAAGATTTTATTTATTCATCTGAGACAGAGAGACAGAGAGCACGAGCGTAAGCATGGGAAGAGGGAGAGGGGAGGGGGAGAAGCAGAACCCCCACTGAGCCGGGAGCCTGACATGGGGGGCTCGGTCACCGGGAGATCATGACCTGAGCTGAAGGCAGACACTTAATCATCTGAGATACCCAGGCGCCCCATATATCCGATCTTTTAAATGCTAGGATTTGAAATTTGAAAGATACTTTGTTTCCTCTTGGCTGTAGATCTTTAAAAATTCCATTATCTTTTCTTAAGCTTAAGAAAAAAAGTTGGCAGAGCGCCTGGGTGGCTCAGTTCTTAAGCGTCTACCTTCGGCTCAGGTCATGATCCCAGGGTACTGGGATCGAGCCCCGCATCGGGCTCCCTGCTCAGCGGGAAGCCTGCTTCTCCCTCTCCCCCTCCCCCTGCTTGTGTTTCCTCTCTCGCTGTGTCTCTCTCTGCCAAATAAATAAATAAAAATCTTAAAAAAAAAAAAAAAAAAAGAAAGTTGGCTACCAGGATGCTGATGCTTCTTTCCCTAATCACCACCAGGCTTTCTGAACACAGAGCTGGTCATCTGAAAGGGATTTGGCTCCATCCTTGTAGTAGACTCAGAAAAATAAACTGATGTTTAGACACATATTGAAAAATGATGTTCTGAGGACAGCTGGGCCTTGAGAAGCCCCTTCATCAAGTGGACATGAATCTGCCTCAACGTCCTGAGGATGGGTTTTCCAGGAGTCCAACCCTCCTTGTCACAGTCTTCTAATCAATGGTGTGAGAAGAGGAATAAGTACTTGTATTTAACGTTTCTCTAGAAAATGTTCATTACAAGTACTGTCTCACAAAATGGGAGGAGCGTGGAATTCACGTCTTCAGACCCCTCCCAGTCCCCTTTTCGGAAGTGCATGGGCTCTGCGGTGGGACAGGCTGGGATTTAAGGCTGTAGGACTCTGGGGGCTACTCACTGTACAGGGTGGCTGGGTGACGCATGGTTGTGTTTATCTCCAGCTACATGTGCCTGCTCTCGTTTAGCAGCCTAGCAAAACTGCAGATGCCAGTATCCATCCCAGGACCCTTCTCGAGGACACCTTGGGCACAGCTGAGACACTTCCCACTGCCATCACTAACTCTTGTTTCACACAAGTTTCCTTGCCCTCAGCAGTCACAAGGGAGGAAAGCAGACACCACGCTCTGCACAGTGACCAGGAGAATGTCATGAACGGGGCGGGGGGGGGGGGGGTCGAATGAATTCCCAAGGTTAAGAAAAAATGTACAGAGAGACATTTATAAATGCTATGAAAACAGTTTTGTACATTCAAATAATGATATACTGGAAAACAAAACCCTGAAAACCATGTGCTAGGCCAAATACCTGGCTCTAATTAGCATATCTTGTGCCAGCAAAAATTTAGTTTCAATCCAAAACACTGAGTAGTCATTCTGAAACCCACCTTTCTCAAAACAGATAAGATCTTACCTGAAATCCAAATGATTTATAAACTAAACTAAGCACACATGTAGCTACATACCCTAATTTGGTTTTTAAGCTGCTCGGCCTCCTGCCGTAACTGGTCAAGTTCACTCATCTTCAGGTCCTAGTGCTCTTCAATGCTACCTCAAGGAATCTCAGATCTGAAACAGAAATATAAGCATAGAAAAATTAATAAACAATGGTTGAGTAACTTAATGAAGCAGGTGAGAAAAGGAAATTAGAATTTTGAGAGCTATGATTTTGTTACAGGTCAGAGCACTTTCCTTCAGCGTTCACCAAAACTTCTGAAGTGCCTACCAAGGGCTGGATTAATAAAATATAATTACTACTATCCACTAGCTTTTACAATGACACTGTCCAATAGACCACTCAAAAGATGGTGGTGAGTTGAAAAAGGAAAAATCTGTTAAGCAGCATTTTTCAAGAAGGATCTGAGTCTCACTCTAAACCCAAGAACATAAGACTGACGTTAGAAGAGGTCTCACACAGAAACCGAAGGGGAGTCTGTTCAGGAAAAGAGCAGAGTGGCAACCTGACAACCCAGATCCTCAACACCACATCCACGAACTTGAACCCATGACCGCCCCCCGCCCCTGATGATGTCATAATGTTTACACAGCAATTCTGAAAGCCCTCAGTGTGGTGTCCAGCAGGCCTCTGGTTCACGGACATCTCACTCTCCCACCAAAATGGGCCCTGGGGCCCCAGTAAACAGAAGCAGTAACTCCACCCTTACAGGCACCTCAGTACAAGCAGCCCTGCCACCCACTCTTAACTGTGCCCTACTCCAGTCTCGTTAGGGATTCCTTACATCAGACTCCAAACAAAATCATCCTGTTATAATAGAGACTTATTTTCCCAAGGGAATGTCGTAACTGGGGTTGTATTTCTGACCAAGAACATGACTGTTTTATCAGTCGTAATTATGACCAATGTATCACAAAGCTGAAGATATAATTACCAACATCTCTTAATCGCTTAAGCCTACAATGAGCTCCCACATGCAAATATGGCTTATCAAAGGGCCTCAACATCCTATGCAAACACACACTGGAGATTTTATGCAAAAATGACAGAGTTAATATTATATACATCAGATACTTAATTAACAATATTTTCTTTTTTTTTTCTTTTATTTATTTATTTGAGAGAGAGAGAATGAGAGACAGAGAGCATGAGAAGGAGGAAGGTCAGAGGGAGAAGCAGACTCCCTGCTGAGCAGGGAGCCCGATGCGGGACTCGATCCCGGGACTCCAGGATCATGACCTGAGCCGAAGGCAGTCACTTAACCAACTGAGCCACCCAGGCGCCCCAACAATAGTTATTTTCTTGAGATTGAAACATATCTGGGGGAAATTGGAGGACGCAGGAAGCGTATTTGTTAGAGTTCCCAGTCTAGATAAACTTCCCTATTCTGCACAAAAGCATTTAAAATAAATTTACATGGTTTACATTACAGAAACTTGATGTATACTTACTGATGAAAACAAAAATATCTTTCCCAATAAGGAATATCTTTAAAAAGTGTGAGTTCTTAGTTCTTGCTTTCAGCTGTGCTATCTATTCACAGCTACAAAAACAGGCCAGGCAGGAGGCAGAGGGATGAAGGGGGTGCATGCTGGACCTCCAGAAAGCAATCTACAGTTGCTAGGACTGACCTTCAATGAAAGTCTGCAGAACCACCAGGAAAGGCCTTACAGGGACGGGACGGGATGTGAAGGCGCCTCTGGGAAGGCGATACACGGTGACACAGTTTCAGAAATATTTCAGACCAAAATAGTTGTTTCTAAAGGCATTACTTTAAGTGGCTGCTGGAAGCATGTAGAAAGCTTCAAAGAATACTTCAAGGCTCCCTGGTCAAAAGGAGCTTGCTGAAGCTCAATGTAGGAGGGGCCACACTTGCAGACACTTTAGCCCTGTGACACCACTGCCTAATGCTCTCTCCAGTCTTCACGTACAAACTCTTCAGAACTGCAATTCATGAATATTAACGTATGCAACAGGAACAGTGCCAAGAGAATATGAGATAATTTTTACAACAGAAAGCTGTGATGATGTGTCCTCCGAGTTTGTGGCCTGCTTTGTGTTCTTTCTGCCACCAGGACATCCTACCACCACTCACATGCATTTATATGTGATCACATTACACCTTATACACAATTATGCAGTTAGCGGTAGTCTTATTCCAGCAACACCACCCAACCCCCCATGTTAGAGAATTGTTCTTAGTCTGTAAAGAAGCCATATTATTCAATCCTTCCAAAATCAATGTTGAAGAAAAATAACAGTTAATGGTTGTCATGGGGTGAACTGAATTGTTAATTTTATAAATAAATAAAATCTTAAAAAAAAGGGGGGGGGAGCCTGGGTGGCTCAGTCAGTTAAGCATCCAACTGTTGGTATCAGCTCAGGTCATGATCTTGGGGTCTTGAGATTAAGCCCCATGTTGGGCTCTGTGCTCAGTGGGTAGTCTGAGATTCTTTCTCGCTCTGCTTCTGTCCTGCCCCCCACTCGCATGCATGCTCTCCCTCTCTAAAATAAATCAATAAAATCTTAAATGGTTGGGACGCCTAGGTGGCTCCGTCAGTTAAATGTCTGCCTTTGGCTCGGGTCATGACCCCGGGGTCCTGGGATCAAGTCCCGCAAGTCCCACATTGGGCTCCTTGCTCAGCAGGGAGCCTGCTTCTCCCACTGCCTGCAGCTCCCCCTGCTTGTGCTCTCTCTCCCTGACAAATAGAATCTTAAAAAAAAACCAAAACTTAAATTGTTAGTTTTAGTCAACAAACATTAACTTCTGCTTATAATTTAAACACTAAAAGGTTAAGGTAATTTTTTTTAAAAAAGATTTTGTTTATGGGGCGCCTGGGTGGCTCAGTCATTAAGCGTCTGCCTTCGGCTCAGGTCCTGATCCTGGGGTCCTGGGATCGAGCCCCACATCGGGCTCCCTGCTCGGCGGGAAGCCTGCTTCTCCCTTTCCCGCTCCCCCTGCTTGTGTTCCCTCTCTCTGTTAAATAAATAAAATCTTAAAAAAAATTTTTATTTATTTATTTATTTTGAGAGAGCGAGCAAGCGCATGGGGGAGGAGGAGGGAGGCAGAAGGAGAGGGAGAAGCAGACTCCCGGCTGAGCAGGGAGCCCGATGCGGGGCTCAATCCCAGGACCCTGAGACCATGACCTGAGCTGAAGGCAGACATTTAACTGACTGAGCCACCCAGGTGCCCCCCAAAATGTCTTTAAAATGAGAAGATCCATTTAATTCACTTACCCCACAAAATTTCAAAAGCAATAATATCAATATTTGCTGACTTGAATCTTTAGTCACAAGCAAAGAGAACAAAACCAGATCTATTTCTTTTTCATCAGTAAATAGCATAAATTATTAATGCTGCTTTTATTTTTTCTTAAAGATTTTATTTATTTGACAGAGAGAGCACAAGTAGGCAGAGCGGCAGAGGGAGAGAAAGAAGCAGGTTCCCCGCTGAGCAGGGAGCCCGACGCGGGGCTTCATCCCAGGACCCTGGGATCATGACCTGAGCCGAAGGCAGACGCTTAACTGACTGAGCCACCCAGGCGCCCCAATGCTGCTTTTAATTACAGATCCCTCTATAGTCAGTGTCCGCATCTGAGTCTCAACAGAGAGACTCAAAATCCACATTTGTTCATTTTTAAGAAAAGAGGTATTCCTGTGGCTACTAGCAATAATAATCATGTCCTGTAAGACCTATTTAATTTATATCTATAAAGACAAGTCTATTTAATCTTTATTTAGCTATAAAGAGTAACCTACGGTTAAGCATTCAAAATTTTTTTAAATTACATTCTCTATTCTCCATGTCAAAGGTGTATTTTCTGAAATCAAATCTGGACAAGAAGTTTTTTTTATAGATGGACAGACTTAATGATGAAGGGGCACTCAGGGTCTCTAGCACACTGGCCTTACTGTCCCTGAGTGGGCACTGTCCAGGACCACCTTGATGAGATGTGGGTGCACACCCTTTGCTCGAAGCTAATGGACACTGATACGGCGCCACAGCCTGAGCGTGGAGGGGTCGGATAAGACCACTGTCACAGAAAACCAGGTAGTCAACAGTCACCCAAAGAGAAACTGGCAGACAGCAAGGAGCATGCACACTCAAATAGAGTGGAACTAAGAGGAAGCAAAAAACTTTCTAATTCCCATAAATTAAAAGTTCACCCCAAATGCTCTTCTATGAGGATACAGTAAATGAAATAAACAAGGTACAGAATAGTGTATGAACGATGATGTGTTTCTCTTTGTGTACATAAAAAGGACAAACATCTATGTTAACATAAGCAATGCTTTTTCTGTGCACGTGAGAAAATGTTAATATTGGTTGTTTTCAGAGAATGACAGGAATAGTGGGGCAGCTTTTATTTTTCACACTATCTTTTATACATGTACATATTTTTTCTTTTTAAAAAAATATTAACAGGTTATCTGGGCCCTGAAACCAAAGAGCATTCACATTGTTTTGTCCATACTTTTTGGTTTTAAAAACAAAATGTTAACTTTTAACTGGAAGAACTATTACATATCGCTAAGAACAATAATGAAGATGGAATAAACACTTGGAAAAATGCCTGATGTATATTAAATCAAAAACAAAGTTGTGTAATAATTTTAGCTATTTTTTTAAAAGATTTTATTTATTTATTAGAGAGAGAGAGAGCACAAGCAGGGGAAGAGGGAGAAGCCAGTTCCCCGTGGAGCAGGGAGCCTGATGCGGGGCTCAATCCCAGGACCCTGGGATCATGACCTGAGCCAAAGGCAGACGCTTAACTGATTGAGCCACCCAGGTGCCCCTAATTTTAGCTATTTTAGAAGATTAAAAAATATATTTTAGTTTAAAAAAGACATTTAAAAAGACAAATAGCATTTTGTTAGAATTTTTGGTCATATTTCCCTCTTCATTTTCCAAACACTGATAATGTAGTTTGTTACTTTGATTTAAAAAAAAATGTACACTTTAAAAGTCTTACTTACATGCAATCACTTTGCTTTTCTCTTCACTATCCTTAGTTCCCCAAAGCCTTCTGAAAACCCCACCATCAGGTTTCCGTGGCCTGGGTTCCTTCTCTTCTCCCGTTGCTAAAGTCAAGGCTAAGCTCTGGCCATGCTG